AATTTATAACAGCTAAGGGGCGTTTATTAATGTTTTCATAAAAAACGTATTCTTCCACCTAGTGTTGTCAAAAGACCCGGTATTTCGGTACCAAGTTGGTACTAAAAAAATGAAAACGTTACGGTACCAGGTTTTTTTAAGTACCGATGGTACCGAGTACCCGGTCAACCCGGTTCTTGATGCGCTATCCGAAAGCTATCCTCTTCCAGTGTTGCCAAGTCCGCGGTTTTCCCGCGAAATTGGGCTGCTTTAACACTGTTGCCGCGGGTTGAAAAACGACCCCATTAACGTGATATTTAGCCCCTGGAATGCGAATTTTACCAGGGGAACCCCGCCAAAACATGCGTATTTTATCCTCGGAACGGGATTTTTAACGGGGGACCCCCTCGAAACGCGATTGGGCGGGTTTTGTTGTGAAAACCTGGCAACCTCTTCTTAAAAGCAGTGGCGACCTCAAGAGGAGGAAACGCATCAAACTAACAAAACACCCCGATCAAGTTCAAGCAGGTAAGTTTCAATTACATTTTTAATATTTAGAGCTTCTGTTATGAATATTATTCCATATTTTAATTTGAATTTCGAATTGAAATAAACATCGCCGTTAGCGTATACATAGTTAATCGTTAGCATAAGCGCGGCTAAAGCTAATATAATGAGCATTAGAATGAATTTTGTTCATTTTGTTCAAAATGATTTCTTTGTTAACATTTAATGCTCTTATAACTTTTATTACTGTAAAAAACAGGAGGACATAATGGTATTTACTATTTTTACACACCAGAGGCTTTTAAATGAACGGTGTAACCAAAATATGCGTGTTAGAGAATGTACAAATGTATGGTTAACAGTGTTTATGTCATATCAGTCCGTCAGAAAAAGTGTTTTTTTTTTTTTTTTTTTTAGTTAGTTAGTTAGTTGTAATTCTTGGCTGAATATCTCTAGCAGGTTTTAAAAGCCCTTTAAAATTAAATATGAACACAGTTTGGATTAAATAAAAGTACAGTCAAATTGTATCTCCTGTATAGACTTTACTGTACAATGACTTAATGTTTTCTAACGTGAGTTAGATCTAGTAACATCTTACAGTGAGTGAACAATATATTTTTAAAACATTCATTAATGTTTGTGAATGTTATTTAATACAAACACTTGATCATTCATGTTTGTTCATTGTGCATTAAATAATTTTAACAGATTGAACTTTGAAATTAACCCTAAGAAGAATAATTGCCATATAACTATTGTTTATTGTTAGGTCATGTTATCTAACAAATAAAATCTTATTGTAAAGTGTTTTTAATACTACAGTTTCATCTATTTGATATACACTTAATATATGTAATCTTATCTAAATTTATTATAAAAGCTGAGGTTTGTTATTTACTGAAAAGTTATATTTTAGCTGGTGTCAATGATCTAATGTTGCATTTGGTCAGACTCAGCCCATTGCTTTACATAAGTATATTATATTTTCCTTTTATAGCTGCAGACTGAGGAAGATCCTGAAACACACCAGCAAACCCTAAAACAGACAACAGTTTACAGAT